GTTACACTGGGGAGACTAAATCTGTACATAGGAAGCACCCAAGGTGGTAGGAGGTGTGGTTCCCCTTCCACCCCGACCTTGCCAGCCATGTGCCTCTCACAGGACATCTCTTTCCAACACCAGTCCCCTCATCTGTGAAATGGGAGTGAGGAGTGGAAGGGCTGAATCACGTCATCTCAATTCTCTCACTGTGAAGAGCAGTGATTTGAGTCGGAACTGGTGGGAGGCTCATTGAGGAGCAACAGTGTTCTCTTCATTCACAGAAGGGGAATAATTGATGTAGATGTGTCCTTAAATGACCACTCCATTAAAAGCTCTTCTCCCATTAGAATAGCCCTAGAGATACAGGCAAATCTAAGAAGACAAGCAATCCATTTTTCCTGAAGGCCTATATACTAAAAAGGATGGCAAAGCTCTGTCTTTAAACAAAGTGCTTTCATGGCAGGTTTCCTCAAGGGAGTGTTAATGCAAGCAGACAGCCTCATTTAACTGAGTCCATATCAAAGTGAATTAGAGACAAGAGTCTGCACAAAGTGACAGTCGGAAGCTGTCCCTGCCAAGTGCTACAACCTGTGAGAAGACAGTTTGGCAAAAATTAGTTATAAATACATTTACTCTAGGACTATGTGGTCTTCCTCATCTGGAATATATCCTATAGGAATAACATGCATGAAATGATGTTTACACCCATTACCAATACAAATTTACTCACTGGGCCACTTTCTCAAATATCATCAAAGATTAGAAACAGTTAAATGATCTATCAATAAAGGACTAATTGAAAAATAATGATGGCCAGGTGCTGATGGCTTATTCCTGTAATCCTATGTAATCAGGAGGCTGAGACCTGGAGGATGATGGCTTAAAGCCAACTGAGATGGAAAAGTGTGAGAGACTCCAATTAACCAGGAAAAAGCTGGGCTACAGGTATGGTTCAAGTGGTAGAATGCCAGCCATGAGCAAGAAAGTCACACAATTGCAAAACCCTGGGTTCAAGCTCTAGTACTGGCACACATGCACACACACACACACACACACACACACACACACACACACACACACACACAAGATGGTACCGACCTTAAAACAAATTCTTTTGCAACTGAAAACATTCTGTCTAGGAACATTCTCTATCAACGTGGAGAACTCTCTAGAAATTATTCATAAGTGTAAAGACAAATAGAAGAACAGTATACTATAAAATAGTATATTTTAAACATAGATACATGTAATAAATGTATGCTATTTTTGCATAGGGGATGAAAGAGATAGATAGATAGATAGATAGATAGATAGATAGATAGATAGATAGATAGATAGATAGATAGAGACGGGTAGATATTCAAGTGCATCTCTGGATATCTTAAAGCTTTCTATGACTTGAAAGAAATTTCTAGACATACTTAACTATAAGGGGTAAGAAAGTAAAAAATAAAGTAGTGGATACCTTCTTATAAATGTTTTTTCCTTAAAATTTTCCCCTTACTTAACACCATAGGAAAATGGTGTACCTAGTGAAAAATAAAATGGGAATGTTTGAAGGTACCCATTAATAAAAGTGGATCACTGCAGCTTTCCTTATTTCATGCTTTAGTCCAGGGATCAGCAAACTCTATCCTGAGATAAAACAGTAGTAATGGAGATCATGCAGCTCACAATACGTACTGTCTGACCCTTTACCAACAATGTGTGCCTACTGTAGTTTAATTTCTCCGTCTCTTTGTCTCTGTCTCTGTCTCTGTCTCTCTCTCTCTCTCTGTCTCTCTCTCTGTAACATTTATGACCACAACTACCCATCAACTTCTGCCATCAAACAAAGGATCTAATCTTGAAGTACTGGGGCTTGAACTTGGAGCCTACCATGATCTTTTAAAATCATAGCTGGTGCTCTACCACTTGAACCACTTAACCAGCCCAGATCCTATCTTATTAAAGTCAGTTTTTCTGTCCACAGAGAATTTATATATCAAGAAATGGGGCTAGGTACAGTATCATTTACAAAGAGTGAGGCTCCAGAGACAGATGGTCCGAGTTTAAACCTGCTCTAGTCTCTCATCCCTATGGAACTTTCAGCAACATCGCTTCCGCAATTCTCAATTCTTCATCTGGAAAATGTTCCTTATAAAACTGTCTGAAGTCCCCCCCTCATAGTTTTTTGAGAGATTAAATGTGTTCATGTTATCAAAGAGCTTAAACAGTACCTGTTAGTATTACCACCTAATACTGTGATTTTTTTAACAGAGTGATGACCAGTTAAATTTATTTGGAGAGGATTCCATGGGAGGTGAGTTCTCTTTACTGAGCTGATCAACGATGTCATTTTAGCCATTTTCAACATGCCTTCTATATTAAACACCAGCTGAGAGATGATAAAATATCAACAATGTGAACTTCTTTCTTGGCCAGGGAATATGAGTGGGTGTGGAACTCTATGGATCTCTCTTCTTGGTCCACATGAAGAAACAACTGGACTCATCATTAAGACATACACTTCCTAATGGCCCAGAAAACATAACTCCCTAAATGCCCAATTTAAAGAAGATGTGCTGGTCAAAGATGTTTGGCAGACAGTTAATGTTTGGGCCTCACTGGAAGATTCACATATATAATTAGCATATACTCGCACAATTAGCATATAATTATATATGTGAATAATTAACTAACTACCCCCAAATCCTTCAGTAAAGGAGCCAATCTATTTTAATTCTATGTTCTTTCAACTTAGTTGGAACAGTCAATCACTGGTGGCTCATACCTGTAACCCTGGCTACTCAGGAAGTTGAGATCTGAGCATCGCCATTCAAAGTCAGTCCAAGCAGGAAAGTCCACCAGACTCTTATTTCCAACTTAGCTACCAAAAAGGCCAGAAGTAGAGCTATGTCTCAAGTGGTAAAGCACTAGCCTTGAGTAAAAAACGCTCAGGGTCAGCACACAACTGGCACCAAAAAACAAACAAAAAAATCCTATTCGGACCACAAATTTGTTTTCTCAAACAGTTCTTGCTATTCTCCAGAATACCATTGGGACCTAACCCAAGATAATACTGCTTTATAATATTTTTCATATTAAAATCTCCCAAAACATCACTCCAAATTAATTATTCCTATAACTTAAAATTGATAAGAATGACACAAAATTTGTACTATTCAAAAACTGTACCAATAACCATAGGTTAAATACCTTCTAACATTTACACTTCCCGAGAAAGTAATGACCATGGTTCATGAAAATATGTTTATAGTATTGACTGTGAACACATACGAGTGAATGATGCAGCTTTCAGTGTTAACCCCAGCACTAATTCTGTATTGATCCTTGAACATGAGGTGATAAAGTGTCATTTAATAATCATGGAAATCACAGTATGTGAAAATCATCCCCAAATGACATCATAGTGACTCATGGAGAAAGTCACATTTGCATATAAGCCAAGAGTTAACTATCACTTAGCTAAGTGCAAATAGTGAACTCCTCACAATTGGATGTGCAATGACTGCTTAGTAAATGTTTTCTCTGGTTATAAAATTTACACGTGCTGATGAGATTTTTAGGGGTAGAAAATAAGAAACATTTGAAACTTATGGCCTAAAACTAATTAAACTACAATAATTAAACAACAAAAAGATTAAAACCCATGATAAAACAGCCATGATCACTTTCTAACGTTATTTGACTTCAGTGTGATCTTCTGTACCTCTGGTACTTAATGCAGAACATGTGTATATATGTGTATAGTTATTTCTTTACATATCATAGCATTTACATGTTCCCAGGTCATTAAAATCTAGTAATAACACATTGTATGACTATACCATCATTGACTAGATAGCCACTATTAGTAACCTAATAGTATACATTACCATACCCTCAAAACCTCACACATAAGAATAACCATGGCTACTTTCCTAGATTGCAAACAGATTCCAAGTAGTTCAACCTCATGATTTCCATATTACAAACACCAATTATCTGCTTTAATAGAAAACAGCAACATAAGATCAATGTAAGATCTTCCCACACATACTATAGGCTACCATGTAAAGAAACTGGAACCTCTCCCCCACCCATCTCCCTCTCTCTGCGTCTCTCATGATAAGATTTTCAAATATTTCCAATTACTCTATCAGCAATCACATCTGTTTCACTCACAGAATTATCTAGTCTCAGATACATTTTGTTTAGTCAGCATAGTACTCTAAAAACCTGACTTGGGGGCTGAGAAGATGGCTCACTGGTAGAGTGCTTGCCTTGTATGCATGAAGCCTTAGGTTCAATTCCACAGTACCACATAAGTAGAAAAAGCCAGAAGTGGCACTGTAGCTCAAGTGGTAGAACACTAGCCTTGAGCTGAAGAGCTGAGGAACAGCACCCAGGCCCAGAGTTCAAGCCCCACGACTGACAAAAATAATAATAATAATTAATTTAATTTAATTTAATTAAAATCTGGCTTGGAATGGTAACTCTAGTTCACCACAGCCCCCACCACCCATACCCACCCATTTCCACTCTAGACTTTTTCCTGGCTTTGCCAAAGCAATCAAAGAAATCTTTCTGAAAGCTAATATAATTCTTATTTCTGGAATCAACTTGCACCACCCCCACTACCCTGCCTAGACCAGACACCCCAAGATCAGCCAGTCCAAGAATAGAATCAGACCTAGAGCATCTCTGATTGCATACAGCCTTCATCCTAAGCTTTTTGGCATCCTTCTTTGCTTGGGGTGGTCCTGTGGGTTGGAGCAGTACCTGTCTGTGGACTCAGAGATTCCAGCCCTGAGCCTCACAGCAACCTAACCTGCAGCTGGGTCTTCAGCCTCTAGGGCAGAGGCCTCGCTCCCCTGCTAGTCTGAGTAAGCAACTCATTAACTCTTATATGGTGATAAGCTGGTTGAATTCTTGGGCACAAATACATGATCTGAGGTTATATAACAGGTTAAAAATCAGGCCTTTGCTACAGTATTTCTTGCCAGTAATTGAAATTACTCTTTTTTTAAGGCTTCATGGAAGATTTGAGAAAAAATAAAATTATTTTCATGATGGGTAAGTAACAGCCCTCAATTTTTCTAATACAATTGCTCATAGCAATAAGTAGGGGTGGGGAATGGGAGAAAGACACTCAGTTCTGAAGTCATGTTTGATTTTGGCCCAATACCTGAGGGGAAGAGAAGGGGAGAAAGGTTGGGAAGAACACAAGTACTGTCAGAACACATTTTCTATTTATCATTTAAGGATTTAAAATATATATACCTACGTTATGTTTCCCAGAAATTTTCTATTTATATTTAGACAATGAAAAGATACACCTTTCTTCCATGACTATGTTTCTACACAAACACATTCAGATAGACTTCAAATCTTACCTGCTAACTACAGGACAATTTCTTGCAAATCTCTGAGTAAATCTCCCTCATTGACAGATGAGGAAATTGAAATCCTGAGAACTTAAAAGGTTTGGACAAAATCATTCAAACAACTGGTTTGTGGCTTACAGTTCCTTATCCCAGTATGTGCTGTGTGGGTTCAGTTGTCCTGAACTCAACTCTCACACACTCAGCCATTTGACAAATACTCAGGGAACACTGGACCCATGCCAGGCAGTGACCAGGACTCCAGTAAAGAGAATAATGAATGTGCCATACACCTTAAGACAAAAAGTAGGAAAAAGACAAGAACTGGAATTCTGAGCCAAGTTTAGAGTAGAATTGGATGTTGACTTCAGAGAGAGTGGCCCAGGTTAGGCTTCCTGAGGAGGCAGCATTTTTGCAGGAAGCTAGGAGGCAGAGCCAGTGAAGGCTCTCAAAGGAGTCGACAGAGGGAAAACTCCAGCCACAGAGAACAGAATGCATCCATGAGAATTCCTGAACTCTACCTTAGTTCTGTCTCTCATCCACCTCTCCTTGTTCTTAATTTGGGGAGTAGACTGAACTCTTCCCATGCTTACTTTACATTCTTATCAAAGAGTAAAACACATTTCTGAAGTCATAATTTCAAAGAAAAATTGGTTGTGCTTATGGACTACAAAAGTTTCCTTTTCCATGTAAATTTTAATAATCAGCTTTCTTGGCATGTATATCGTAAAGTGTATTCAGGTTTCTGTTTAAATTTTATGTTCAAGAATAAATGAGGAAAGGGAAAGGCTCTTTTTTATTTATTTTTGTTGCATTTAAGTAGTTGTACAAAGGAGTTGCCATTTAACAAAACAGTTTATGGATACAATAAATATATCTTGATCACTGTTACCCATTTCAACAAGTTTGCTATCTAGAAATCAAACTAAGTATAGCCCTGGTGGCTCATACCTATAATCTTAGCTACTCGAGAGGCTGAGATCTAAGGATTATCATTCAAAGCCAGCCAGGCAGAAAAGCCTGTGAGACTCTGATCTCCAATTAACAACTCAAAAACAAGACATGAGGCTGTGGCTCACCCCAAAGTAGTAGAGCACTAGCCTTGAGCAAAAAAGCTCAGGAACAAAGCCTAGGCTCTGAGTTCAAGCCCCATGACTGACAGGAAAAAATAAGTAGGAACTTTCTGTTATCCTAAAGAAATCAATCATTTCAACAACGAAGCCCTCAAAACTTCTAGCAGCGATATAGCATGTTAGTGGTGCTTGGTGCTGCCTCTGGCAGTTACGTCATTTCAGATTCATCCAGTACTTATTCATAGATGAATTTGGGAATGTATTTTGAAATGTCACTTCTGTCTAGACATAACTAAAGACTTCAGCTTACCCGCAGAAAAAATTCTGTGCCCTTTAAAAAGGCAGAGAGCACAATTTAAAATCTTTGGCATTAGACTTGCGTGAGACCCTCCAAGAGCCTCAGACCTCATCCCGGAAGCAGCTGCTAGGTCTGAGCAAAATCCTTCTCTTCTAGCTAACCAACTCTCCTGTCTTTCAGTTTATTAGTTAGTCACTACTCAGGTAAGAAGAAAGACTTGAGCCACTGTTATATTGAGGACTAAGGTATTCCCCTGGGCTAGGGAAACTGAGGCCTTAGCACTAAGTTCTTCCTTAGATAGCGTGATGGTAATTGGGGCTGCACTATCACAGATCAATATAAAGCTCATAAAATAATAGTTAGGCTGTCAGAGACACAACTTAGCTGCATGGGTAACATGACTCAGATGATTTTAGGGGCATAAGTATGGCTCAGTCTGCATAGATTACTAATTTGTCCACTTTCCAGCTTATTGTCTTAGCATCTATCTGCTACAGTATTAGCACTGGATTGACATTCTCACTGCTATTTATTTACTTATTTATTATTTTGGATGGTACTGGGATTTGAACTGAAGACTTCGTACTTGGTAGGCAGGTGCTCTATCACTTTGGACCATATCTTCACCTTTTTTTTTTTCTGTAGGTGTTTTTCAGATAGTCCCACATTTTTTGCCAGAGCTGGCCTTAGACTCTAATCTTCTTACCTATGCCTCTCAGGATGAATAGCTAAGATACAGCTTGTTGGTTCAGATAGATCTCAATAACTTTTTGCCAGAGCTGGCCTCACACCCTGATCCTTCTGATCTTCCTCTCCCCAGTAGCTGGAGTTACAGGCACAAGCCATTACTTCTGGCCCTCTGACAGTTTTTTATTCATAAGACAAAATTACCATTCCTACAGCATTTTTCCTGTGTTTTAAAGTATTCATTAGTTCCTTTTAGTGAATAGAAAGTTCCAGATGGCCTAGACTGGCCTCATTAGACTCTCCTGACTGGCCTCAATGTGTCTTTCCCATTTCCCTGGACACTCCTACGTCAGTCTCAGGCTCCAGCCCCACCTGCAATCCTATTATCTGTGACCTGGCCTCTTCCTTAGCCCTTTCACTAACAATGTCTTCCTCCCTATCTAATCATGCCTGGAAGTCAAGTTTCACTTCTGGCTCCTAAGAAGTCTTCTCTAATCACTAGCTTTTTTTCTGAGCTCCTCTTTCCATTATGTCTGAATCACCCATTTGGATATCCTATTAATGATGAGAAAAAAAATATATATATATATATATCTGTTGGAATAATGAATTCTTTAGGAAGCACTGTGGTCTGTTTCCATAACAACCGACATAGCAATTGGAATTCCTGGACTGGAACTGACAGGCAGATTGCTACTGCAATAGCTGTTTCTTGCAGGATGGTTCTCAGGTTAATTATGAGCCCACACAGCTGCTCCCGGCTCGGTGCAGCGCTACTCTCTGACTGAAAACAGGCAACTTTTCCCCTAAGCTGAGGGTTCATGGTTTCACTTGCAAAGCAACAGTTCCAAGTTGGACAGGTGAGAACAGTGCCCATGATCCAAGAGGAAACGTGTTCCTCTTCACAAAGGGATAGGCTGCGAGAATAAGCCTGGCTGACCTCAGAATCGTATATAAATATCATCTTCTTATTCAGGAAGAAAGTAGCACAGTAGTTGCTTCTAGAGAAATACCTTTTAGTTAGATCTCAGAGGGCAGCCACGGGTGGTTTTGAGGATCTTTGCTCTTCCCCACACACAACAGAAGAACGGATGTGAATGTACAAGACATGGATTCAGCCATCACAGGAAACAGAAGGGTATTTGGACAATGAAAAAGCTATGTTTTAAAGAACCTCGCTATTTTTTCATGGTTATTTTTTTACAACCTTTTCAGATCTCCTTCCTTTCTTCTTTCATTTCCCCTTCTCCTCTCCCTTATTTTTTCTTTCCTTCCTCCCCCTCCCCCCTCCCTCTTACCTTCCCTCCCTTTTTGCTTCTTTCCCTCCTTCCTTATTTTACTCTCTCCATTCTTTTTTTGTTTTGTTTTGTTTTTGTTTTTGGGTCCGGTCGTGGGGCCTGAACTCTGGGTCTGGGTGCTGTCCCTCAGCTCTTCAGCTCAAGGCTAACGCTCTACCACTTTAAGCCATAGCACCACTTCCGGCTTTTTTCTTTTTGCTTATGTGGTGCTGAGGAATCGAACCCAGGGCCTCAAGCATGCAAGGCAAGCGCTCTACCACTGAGCCACCTTCCCAGCCCACTCTCTCCATTCTTTTTGGCTTTTATCTCTTCATCATTACCATGCTAATTCCATACCTATCTGAACTTTGTTTTCCCTTCTCCGTTGTTCATAGCCTGTCTCAGCCCCAAATATGACAGAACTGAATTCCTTTTAGTTCAGAGTTAAAGCCTTGGCAGAAAAACTTCCATTTGGAAAACACATCTGTCTAATCAGATGAGGTGAGATGTTAATGGCATAATGATTGGGTCATACGCAGCAGCTGTCGCTTTCAGTGTGTCAGGAACACAGATGGCCTTGTGTACCGTTGGCATTGACCGAGGTGAAGTTTTGTAAGTAGGAAGCTTTGAGAGCTATTTTCGTAATGTTTTGTGTTATTATATGCACGTTAACCACGGCACAAACAGTCCTCTTTATTTTCCTAGAGAAATAAGAAATTTTGCCTCAAACCCAGTATTTCAATGCCCCTCCTTATTTTATTACATTCCTGTTACCTTTTTTTCTTCTCTATTGTAAAAGGAGGACAACTCTGACTCATCAGGGCCTTTCTCCAGGTAGTGCTTCCTTCACAATAAGAAGCAACTTTTTCTACTACTGCCTTGTTTCTTGTTTTATAATTCAGTATTGTTGTATAGAAACCATCATGTACTCATTACCTTGCTCATGTAATTGTAACCCTTCTGTACAGTATTTTCACAATTTATATATATATATATATATATATATATATATATATATATATATATAAAACATAAAAATTCCAGTAAGAGGGGCTGAGAAGGTGGCTCAGTGGTAGAGCACATGCCTGAGGCCCTGGGTTCAATTCCTCAGCACCACATAAGCAAAAAAAAAAAAAGCCAGAAGTGGCGCTGTGGCTCAAGTGGTAGAGCACTAGCCTTGAGCTGAAGAGCTGAGGGACAGCACCCAGGCCCAGAGTGCAGGCCCCACAACCAGACCCAAAAAAAAAAAAAAAAATTCCAGCAGTAAGAAAAATGAAAGAAAAAAAAAAAAAAGAAAGAAACCATCATCATCAATTCAGACCTTCACACATGCCAGGCAGTATATGAAACTCTCTAT